AACAATTTTTATTTGTAATTTCAAGATTGTTCGACGGTATTGCTTCCAGACAGAGTGGCTCAGGCTCTGAACTTAAACTTAGATGCCATGGATTCTTCACCCCAGTTTCAATCTTTTTTTTTTTTTTTAAATTGAAATTTCTCCCAAAACGACGTCGTTTTGGGGGTGCAGCAAGAATGACCGCAGGGTCCAGGGCCGGCCTTAGGGCATAGGCCATAAGGCCATGGCCTAGGGCCTCTCAAAATTGGCTCAAAAAAAAGGCCCTCTCGTATTATAATTTAATGTAATATATTAGGTATGTTTTAAGTTTAAAAAAATAAAAAAGACCTAAACTAACTTAAAATTAATTGATCCATTAAAAAATTGAAAGGTCATTCAAAAAAATTAGTATTGTTATCCATTGAAGATAGACCCAAAAAATGGGTCTCTCTTATTATAGTTTAGTCCAATATATTAAGTATATTTTAAGTCAAAAAAAATTACGGAAGGCCCAAATTAACTTAAAATAAATTAATCCATTAAAAAATTAAAATGCCCATTTAAAATAATTAGCATTGTTATTCATTGAAAATGATTTTGTAAAAAAATTAGATTATGTAAGTATAATTGATTTATTTACTTTTAAAAATACAAGAAGAATGAAAATCAAGCGATATTTATTAGTTATTGTAATGTAATGCTAAGTATTTTTTGTGATTTTGACACAAATCTTTTATTCTTTACTTTCAATTTTTTTTTTCATTCAATGAAAAAAAAAATATGAAGGGCCCCAGAAATTTATTAGTTGATTATCGATTTTGAACCGCAGAAATCTCAGAATCGAGCCTAACAAGATCGTGCGACCGAGGATCCGGACTCATCCCATACCACCCAACCCCACTACCAACAGCAGAATGTGCTGCCTTATTCTGCCCCTAAGAACAAAAGTGAACTGACACTCTCCAAACCCCCCCCCGAATTCGGATCTTCGGTCGCACTCCCCTGTCGCACTCTCCTATCGCCCTCCAAAACGACGTCGTTTTGGTTACTATTGGTAGATGGATATTTTTTTGTTTTTAGTACTATTTACTATTGGTAGATGGATATTTTTTTGTTTTTTTGGGCATCAATTCGGTAACTGCATTTAAACATTATTCTTTTCTTTGGTACCCCCACTTTAGTACTATTTACTATTGGTAGATGGATATTTTTTTGTTTTTTTGGGCATCAATTCGGTAACTACATTTAAACATTATTCTTTTCTTTGGTACCTGTTTAGCTTTTTGATTACTGTTTCAAACAGTAGAGCATCGACAACAGTAACATCGTTTGTTTTTAAAGATAGAATGGAAGAAATTAATAGTGAAAAAATTAATAGTAAGAGAATTGTTAACGAGAGAATTTGTGTTTATTTTTATGATAGTTGTTAGTGTAGAGATTGTTAAATTATTTTTATATAAAATAATAAAATAAATAAAAAAATATAAAAACATTAAATATTAATGTTTTTAAAAAAATACCTAACATGTAAAAAAATTTTAAAAAATAAAAATAAAATAAAAAATTTCCAAAAAAAATAAAACAAATAAAATAATGATTTTTTACTTAACAAAAAATACAAAAAATTAAACATTAATGTTCAAAAAAATGCCCGACATGTAAAAAATAAAAAAATTTCTAGTCCGCCGGACTTTTTTTCTAATACCAAGTCATGGAGGCCCATCTGAATCTCCTTGGAGAGGCTCATCCTAATCCGGAGCTCACTATTAATCCCCTCTCCATCTCTCAAAACAAACACAATATTAGTGAGTCCCACCTCACTACAAATCACAATCCCCCCTCTAAGGGGTCTTTTGGAAAGTGGGTTATAATACATTTCCCAGATTATAACCCACTTCCCTCTCTCACAAAAAGCTGATTATAACCATCTTCTCAAAATAACCCTAACTCTTCAAATAAACGGGGCCTAAAGGACCTCGTGGATAAAGTTGGATCAGGTGTTCTCTCATTTACTATTCCTTTAAATTTAAACGAATTGAAAAAAATTAATTTGTATCCATCCGCTTAATTAACGGATGGGGATTGAAGGAGCCGTACGGATTGATGAATGAATGATGATCGGTTTAGCAGTTGAGCTTTATTGTTCTAAATCTTATTTAAGCCCAAAAATTTTGAATTCATTTTTTATAATAAAAATAAAGGCCAATGTTCATATTTTATAAATAATTATAGTTTCTAGTTAATAAAAGACCATTTTTTAATACACAAATCATAAACTTTAGCATCATTTTCTAAAGGCAGTGGCTTTGTCCGGTCCAAGATCGGACCGGACCGTGCTATTGGGTCCATGAGGGACCATCATGGGTTCTGTTTTGATAATCTGAACCATTCAATGTGTAGAACTCGTCGAGTACTATATGCCTGTAAAAAATCACGTTGATCGGATATCGATAGCTATGTGAACAAAACAGTTTTTTATCAACCGTTAATTGTTTCCCCGTCCATTTTTTTTATACAAAACTGATTTGATCACATAGCTATCGATATCCGATCAACGTGATTTTTTATTGGCATGTAGTACTCGACGAGTTCTACACATTGAACGGTTCGGATTATCAAAACGGGTCCCAAAAATGAATCCCATGAACCGAACTGGACGGGTCCAATCTTGATCTCAACTTGAGACAGGCTGGACCCTTTTCTAAAATACTAACCAAAAAAAAAGAAAAGAAAAAATAACGAACAAATTGTTATATTTAAAAATAAATGAAATGACACAATTATCAATGCATTGTCATTCATTTTGAGTAAAAATTTATTATCACCACATCACTACCAAGCAATGGTGCTAGTAGATTGGATTAAGTTGGATAGCCTCTTATTTACCATCCATTTGAACTTAGGTGGATTGAGCAAATACATTATATCCATTTGTTCAAACTATCGAAATCACCCATTCTTTGACAAATCAATTCAAATCATTCAATTTTAACAAAGTCGAACGGTTTGCGCAACAAATTAGCTAAACTATCAATCTAACTAAAATAACTAGCCAAATTCATGAAAACTCTCTCCAATAAATTAATCAAAATACTAATTAAAATAGTTTTATGAATGGCCACCAGCTTTCTTTTTTTGTTGAGTCACTATTCACTAGCTTCCTTTTTTTTATTCTTAAATTATTCATTCTTTCCTTTACTCTTTTTCATTTTCTCTGTCATAATAATATCAAGGTAAATTACACTATTATTGCTTGTATTATTTTGATTATTATAATTTTAATTAAATTAATTTTAATCTTGATTTTTTTATTTTGTCTCAAATTGATCAGATTGCTTCCAATTGTTAGTATTTTTTAATAACAAATGAGTAACATGTGTCTTACTTTTAGGAGCAAAATTATAAATTTGATCAATTCAGTGACTTAATCTCAACCAATTTAATGAAAATGTTATATCAAAAGCCCTAACGACGTTATCAATTGAACCAAATTAGCACAAAATCTAAAATTATGAATAAAAATTGAGCCAATTGAAACTGTAGGAACTAAAATAATACATATTTTGACTATCGATGCTAGAGATGCTCTTAGTTAACAATAGAAAATTTCTTTTAGGATTCCTTCCCATCCAAAATCTAGAATGGAGGGGACTGTTTGGACCCGTGGAGCCCATCACAGGTTCCGTTTTGATGATCTGAACAATTCATTTTATTGGGCACTCGTCTATTTCATCAAGGCTAAAAATTAGGTTAATTTAATAACTGTAATTTGCTTAATTTACTTTTTTTTACTAAAAAAATAGACGATAATTGTGTTTTTAAAAAATAAATTATACATTTTTTTGTGACAAAAATAATAAATTGAACAAGTTATAATTATTAGAACGACCTAATTTTTATGTGTGGATGAAATAGGAGAAGTGTCCGACAAAATAAACGATTCGAATCATCTAAACAAAACTTGTAATGAGCCCTATAGACCAACAGCCCCTCTCATCCAGAATTTAGATCGAAGGGAATCCTTCTCATTTTCATAAAAGCCTAATTTGTCTTTAGATGCTTAGAATAGTAATAAAAAAAAAAAGTGTTACACAAGGCAAGTGCGTAGAAATCAATTAAAATACTTATTAAACATGTTAGTACATTAGAAAATTAGTAGATACTCCTTGAACTGGATAGATATAATCGAAGAGGTCGACATTGTTATATTATCTATTCAGAATTTTTATTTAAAAAGTCAGTGTATAATCTAAATTTATTTGTTAAACGTACGTCTTGCAATATATGAGTTGAATTTCAACTACATATTATATTGTATTCTTTTGTAGCCTTTCTGTTGAAGAATCATTTGATCTTGTTGTATACACTATTACACTAGAAAAGTAGCATATTTCAGTTAGGAAAATAATTTCAAACATAACTTTATATAAAAAATACATCTAGAATAATATGTCAATGGATAGTGTTTTAATTACAAATGAAGGAATTTTGATTAGGCATATGATTAGGTATTTTGGCTAAGTTCATATTTACTAGCTACATGTAGCTAGCCTTCAAGGCTAGGCAAAATGTATTTAATTATTAGGATTATTTCCCTCCATCTTTGTTGTTGACGTGACATTCTATAAAGTTAATAGTATTTAGATGAATAGCTAAAATAAAGAGCATGGTTGGAGTACAAACATGAAACAGTTGACAGGTAAAATAAAATGTATATTTTATAGTAATATTTAGATAGGTAAAATGCTTACTACCGTTGGAGATACTCTAATACATGAGAAGTAGTATAAAAAAATGATAAGTGTAACATTACTAGACAAATAATGAGTAAAAGACTACAACATGTCAATTCAATCAAATAAGGTAACCATTATATAAAATAAATTCGCCATCATTATGCATAAAAGTTCTATATCAAAATTTTATTTATATTTCATTATTCTGTCATTTATTTGTATTTACTTCATTTGACACATATTCTTCAAGTTTTTCTTGCATAAGTACTTGCATTCCTCTTATGTTTTTTTCTCCTAGCATAATAACATATCTCAAAGCTAACATTCTGCACAAACTTCACTCTTCCAATACCAATTTGAGAAGAAGAAGAAGGAAGTGGAATAAAATGAGTGAAGAAAAGAAAATCCATCTAGATGTAGTGGGCATGGGTGAGCTCAAGCAATGGTCTTTCTACAAAGCCCTAATTGCAGAGTTTGTAGCCACCCTTCTCTTCCTCTATGTCACTATCGCCACCGTCATCGGTCACAAGAAGCAGCACAGACCTTGTGACGGGGTTGGCCTCCTCGGTATCGCGTGGTCCTTTGGTGGCATGATCTTCGTCCTCGTCTACTGCACAGCTGGCATATCAAGTAACCACCTCAAAGCCCTTGATACATGTATATATATATTATAATCTCACTAGTTATTTTTTTATTTTGAAAGTTATAGTTGTTTTTCCCATTGTTGCTTAAAAATAAGCCAAAAGGTGCTTCCAAAACACATTCAAAAAGCAAGATGAGCATTAGAAAATCCAAGAAAATTATGCCTCAAAGGCATTGTTTGGTTATTATTTTTAAAATACTTCCATATTGCGTTTGATAATTCTTTTTGTCGACTTAGTAAAAGTTAGCTTTAAAAAACAATCCAAACTCGGTTTGGTTTTGTTTTATTTTAGTTTTTTAAGCCTTAAAACAAATAAGCTAAAAAATGTAAAATTTTACTAAAATATATGAATTACAGATGTCGAATTGATTTGATTTTTTTTTATAAATAATCTACTCAACAAATTTATAATATAAACAATTTAGATCATTAAAACAAGTTAAAAAATGCCTCCAAAAGCCTCTCAGCATAATGCTATGCCCATAAGCACAACATTAACCTCACTTCGTATTGCATTGCGACAAACACATTCCATCCAGCTATTGATTTCACTGTTAGGTCAATGGCTGAGATGTGTATGTGTCATAGTCACATCATTACCACTAAGCCATGTTTGTTTGGGTGGACATGAGCTTGGGATTGGACTAATAGTCCAATAAAATTATTAATCCGATATTTGGTTAAACAATTGAAGTACAGACTAATTATTTTAAACTTGACTATTAGTTAAGATAAGATACATAATCCAACGGATTCGTAGTCTTAGGACTATTAGTCATGGGAATGCTAATCCAGTCCGCCCAAACAAACATGGCCTTAGTGTTAGTGAACGTTTGCTCATAAATGTCATATATTTCATCAAAAAATTAGTTACACTTTCAGTTTAGTTTTTAAATTATTTTTCGCATTTTTTTGAAGAATTACTTGACAATGAATGAAACATTAAAAAAAAAAGAAATTACAAAAATATGAGAGATGCAAGTGAATTTGTGGTGGGGTGTAAATGAAAAATTATGGGAGTGCAAGTCTCACTTACACCTTTCAATGTTTGTGTATTTTTTTCACTATCAAACTGTTAAGTAATTCTTCTTCTTCCTTTTTTATTTTTATCTTTGATTATTTTTTTATATTTTAATCAGATTTTTATATTTAAAACCTAAAATATTTGTGATGAAATTTTTAAAAATACTAAATACTAATTTATTTATTTTTGGGGTTGTATTTCTCCATCTTTAGTGGATTTTTTTTAAAGATTTTCTTACAAATATTTTATTTTTAAGTACATATAAATTGATTAAAATATAAAAAGAATTCACTACAAATGAAAAAAATAATTAAAAAAAAAAAAACTCAAAAGCAGTATTTGAGTTTCAAAAACCAAATGGATGTGGAAGTAATTTTGGTTTTTAACCATTGGGGTGACAGAGGGTCACATAAATCCGGCGGTGACGTTTGGAATGTTAATGGCAAGGAAGGTGACGTTGGTGAGAGCGTTGGCGTACATGGCGGCGCAGTGCTTGGGAGCCATATGCGGCGCGGCGTTGGTGAAGGCATTCATGAAACATCACTACATGATGCTTGGTGGTGGAGCCAACTCCGTGGCGGCTGGCTACTCCCGCGGCTCGGCTTTGGGTGCAGAGATCTTTGGAACTTTCATACTTGTCTACACCGTCTTCTCCGCCACCGACCCTGAAGGAATCGCTCGTGACGCCCACGTTCCTGTAAGTTTTTGCTATGGTTAAATTACACTTTTGCCCCATTTTTTTCATTTTGGTATTTGAAACTTATTTATTATATATAACTCATACCTCTAACACAAACACAAACCCAAATCCAAATATAATATTATATTTTTATGTTATGTAATAGCTAAAGGCCACATTTTTTTATCTAATTTTAAATACAAGTTAATTTTAAAAATAAAATTAAAAAAAAAAAACTTAAATTATGAAAAGCCAATGTGGTGGGAAAAAAAAACTTTAAAGGACAAGGTGAGAAAATAGATAAATAAGAAGACAAAGTGTAATTTACCCTTTGTTTGCTATCTTCATGATTTTGTCTTTTATGTTTATTATTGTATTTTATTTATATTTATAAATTTTGAAAAATTGAAAAACAAAAGAATTTGTTTGGTGTTTATTTTTGTTTCAGGTAAATTATATTATTATTAGTTGATATAATTTAAGTGAAATGTCATTTTAGTTATTGTAATCTTTTTTTAAATAATTTGAACTTTATATTTTTAATTTTGTTACAATGTCAACATTTTATCATATGTCACTAACATTTTGAATGCCAAAAAAAAAAAAAAGGAGTTTAAAATTAAGATATCAAAAAGTGATGGTTACGTAATTTCTTTTAAATTCTCATTCGGTTCCCCTTTAGTTTTGTACATGTATTTTTCCAGTTCAAAATTTTAACACAAATAAGGAAGGATTACATTCCAAGAAAAACATAGGGTTTAAATTAAAACTACGATAATCAAAATGAAATTTCACTCTACTTAGAGGAACTAATGATGTAATTTATCTTTTTATTTTTTTAAAGGGCAAATTACATATACCCTCTCGAGATTTAGCAAAATTACAAATATCCCCTTGAAGGTACTATTTGCATAACAAATTAGCGGGCAAATTGTTATGAAAATATAAACCTGAGGGGACAATTTGTTATGAAAATATAAACCTCAAGGAGTATTTGTAATTTCCGAAACCTCAAGAAAATATTTGTAATTTAGCTAAATCTCGAAAGAGATATATATAATTTGCCCTTTTTTAAAATTATAAATAATTTACAAACTTTATTTCTCGTAGTTAAGCAAATATATATATATATATATATATTCATTCATTTATTTTAAAAATAAACAAATATATATGAGTTGTGGGAGTTATGATTTGATGTGGGATGAGAACAGGTGTTGGCACCATTGGCAATTGGAATTGCAGTGTTTATGGTGCACTTGGCCACCATTCCCATCACAGGGACTGGCATCAACCCTGCAAGGAGTTTGGGTCCTGCTGTCATCTTTAACAATCCAAAAGTCTGGCATGATCAGGTCCCTCCATTTTTTCTTTAAGTAAATTTCACTGCATTTTTTTAAATGTGTTTTTATGAGAATTGTTATTATTATTATTTTTTTTTCTAATTATTATTTTTATGATGAATAAAATGAGCAGTGGATATTTTGGGTGGGGCCTTTTGTGGGAGCACTTGCAGCAGCTGTTTATCACCAATATGTACTCAGAACTGCCACTACTGCCACCGCTATTACCACCACCACCAACTCCCCTCGCATCTAAAACTTAACAATCTATTTATTTATTAATCTGTTGTGGATGAATAAATCTAAGTGCACTTACTTTTCAAAACTTTTGTCTATTGCAATTATTTATTATTAAAATATTTATGAGAATGTAAGATTGAATTTTTTTTGGGTGAATATGTAAGATTGAATTGGTAGTTATGTTTTTTATTTTTTTTATTTTAATGAACGATTTACTTTTTTATAACATAAAGGAACCTCAGTTACAACTTGAACTACATTAGCTTAGTTTAATTAATTCAGTTTCGTGCATATTTGATTTGATTTTGAATCCAAAAAATCTAAAATCAATTATGATTGATTCAATTTTAAGTTCAATGTTTAACTCGAATTAAATTAAACCAGCCTATCCACACACTTATATCTAAGTCCAACATCGAATGCCATTAGTGGTGACATCCTTGAGTCTCCTAATTTAGATTTCTCTTCTTAAATTGTATTCGATGAGCTTTTCTTTTCCTTTTTTTTTTTTTTCCCCAGCACCTTATGGCCATGTTTGTTTAGGTGGACATGAGCTTGGGATTGGACTAATAGTCCAATAAAATTATTAATCCGATGTTTGGTTAAACAATTGAAGTACGGATTAATTATTTTAAACTTGACTATTAGTTAAGATAAGATACATAATCCAACGGATTCGTAATCTTAAGACTATTAGTCATAGGAATGTTAATCCCGTCCGTCCAAACAAACATGGCCTATATGTAATCAAAAGAACTCTATTACTGAGGGCTTGTACCCAATGGCACCACCCCCAACATTGGATTTCATTAGTTTCTATCTATATCACTTGTCCCCTATTACTAGTTTTCTTTGCGCTCACCGCTTGACAATTTTCCTTCCCCATACCGTTGAGAAAAGAGGTAATAAGATGTTGCTAATGGATGTCCTTCAGTCAGTGTCCTGGTCTTAATCATCATAATAATCATCTTTTCACGCATAATAACCATATTGATTTATGTGCCATCGATACTGTAGGTTGGATGATCTCGATCATTTCTACATTGAGTCATCAACATAACCTTGCTTTGCAATTATCTCAAATTCTTGATATAGTTATATATGCCACCCACAACTAAGCATGGCAAGAAAACAAAAACTTGCATGTAAGCATTAGGTTGAGTCACTGCATGGCTTTTGATAGAACAATACTCTCTACAGCGGCAAAAGCAAGACAGGGCAAGGGATGAATTCGGCCAAAAGGTTAGCATCAACATGCTTGGAATGGATGGCTTCCATGCTCATAACTACCAAATCCAAATTCAGATCATCAGCAACCTCACCAATGATGGCTGTTGGCTTCTTCCCTTCCCCGAGTCGCTCTAGCAACTTGAATTCCTGGAACCCACCTATCATTTTTTGTAAGCAATAACAATGAATAATCAATTATTGTTTGGGGTAACAAAATAAATAAATAAATCAGCTTAAAACTGCCACTCATTGTTGCCAGAATTTGTGCCATGATTCCACTTCAAATTTTTCTATATGATATAAAAAGATTACTTAATCAATACCAATTGTTGAACACCTGTTACTGCCAACCAAAGAACTTGTGTGTTGCTTATGTCTATATATCTATATCATCCTATAATATATGTAAACAATAGTAAACAAATATTATGCACAACTTGTAAAAATATAATTTGCTCAAGAATTAAGTAAAAAGATCCTTACCGCTATGTTTGGATTATGGATTTGCGTAGGGATTTGGTGAGGGAGAGGAAATAGGAAAGGAAAAGTGATACAAATAGAAACTAGTTGCTTTTCCCTTCTCTTCACAAATCCCTCTCCAAATCATAGATCTAAACACAGCCTAAAGCAACAACTGCCATACAAAAGGCAAATAAAGAAGCAGAAACAACTTTCTTACTACTTGAGTTTCCAAACTCCCTTAATTACATTGTGGACAAACAAAAAAAAAAAGGGGAAAAACCAAAAACAACGAGAAACATTCTTCCAACCGGTCATCAGTGTAGACCTACCTTCAGACAGATGCCAGCGTACGCTGGAGAGTTGGGTGTCATGCTCTGGCAATGATTCTTTCAGCTTTTCATCAATAACTGCAAAGAACCAACAATCCTTGAGATAGTGCAGGAAAAATGTTCTGTAACAAGAAAGGTATCTCTACCACTTAATTTTTGGTGTCTGCGTATGTAGAACAACATTAACAGTTACAGGGACAAAGCTATAAATTTTGCTTAGGAGGGCTGAGGTAAACGTATCAAAAAACTCAAGCTATCTTTTGAAAATTAATAATTACTAACATAAGCATTATGATCTATATCAGTCATTTCTTAGTACTTATCTCAATTATTTCACACAATTTTTTGGGTTATAAATAAAAGTTTTTTTAAAACTTGGGGTCATTCTATATACATTGTAGAAACACTCATAAATTAAGAGGGGTAATAGAAAATGTTTCAAGAACTTAGGGGGACCATCGCCCTTCTTGGGTCACCCCTAGCTTCATCCATGAAACAGTTATTACAACATACCCACGACCGTAATGTCTGCCCCATACTTCTTCGCCAAAGCAGTAGTAGTAGTTGCAGCCTGTTAAAGGATTGGAACCAAAAGTGAGCAAGATGCAAAACAAGAGCAAGAATTGAATCACCAAGTCAGCAGCAAGAAGTTAACAACATTAGTCTTGATACTCGGTATAAGACGGGTTTGCTATGTGCGCAATGACACCTCCGCACCAACATATTAGTCAAAACTTTATAAAACTAAATATCGGATGGGCATTGTATTATGTTGGCTGTGTTCATGTCATGCATCTCGGATTCATGTCAGAGTTCCCTAACAATAACCCAACCCATTTATTTTTTTCCTGCTATTATGTTGTGTTATTTTGAATTCGTGTCGTGTTAACATGTCATGTCAACAAAATTTCACTCTTAGTTAAAATACCAAGCGTATGTAAACAAAGTTTTTTCCCCACAAGTCAAATTTCAAAAACATTATCTATCAGATCAAATTATTCATAAAAATGTTTAATTTCAACTCAAATCCATTTCTCCAATTTCAGAAAACTAAATGTTTAGGTTTTTTTTATTTTTTATTTTTATAACTAGATTGAATCCAATATAGTAAATGGAAAGATCAAATTGTCTCAAATAGAAAGCAAAAGGACTATATTGACCTCAAAATCCTATTTCACATTTTTTTTATTCAACTCGATAGAAGGTTTTAAACATGTCAACCTTTAATGAAAATAACATTAAAATGTTGCACAAATCCTTCATTAAACAAGTTGTTCGTGTCAACTTCATGTTATGTAGGTTCAAAGCTGACTTGAACTGCTTATTTATTGTGTTATCATGTCGTGTCATAATTGGGTTCATGTCAAAAAAGAGTCAACCCTAAACCTGCTAACTTCATGCATGGTTCGTGTCAAGTCAAAAATTTCCATCCGTAACTAAATGCTTTTCTTATATTTATATGTATATATATATTCTACTTGAAGTTTAAGTCCTATCCAATATAGGTCCATTACCTCTGGAACACTCACTGAGAAAAAGGACAGGGATTGGGTAATGGAAGGCGGGTAAAATGTTGGCCTGCTTGTTTAGTGATTTCACTAAATACCAAAAGAAGATTGAATGTGTGCGCCAAATTGTGGCTGAAGCTCCATAATTTCATCATAAAACAAACAAAATTGAGAAAATAATTGGAGTTAAATCAATGTGAAAGGTATATGACAGGATTCTTCATAACAGCACGAATGACATCAAAAGGCATGATACCTATCTTGATATGGTCAATCAACACAAAAGGAATGTTAAATCCTACTGTAAGGAACAACCACCTCAAATGAACTACTGTAGAATTGATCATTAAGATGTCACATTACAATGATACTGTATGATTTGTGATATGTCACTATTATCTAATACAAATACAATTTATTGGATAGTACTTGATTATAAGTATTAACATTTACACCAAATTAGCTCACCTATTCAAGGTTGACCAGAACACTTTATTAAATGTGGGTAGTTCATCAGATCATATAACATGTACTGGAAAAAATCAGAACACAAAGCACCCCTATAGTGACATTTATCAGGGAGCGAATTTATCCTAAAACACTGTCTAAATTGTAAATACAGTAACTTATAAAAAATGTAAAGACAATAACTAATTAAAAAAAATGTAACAGAGTAGGCTTTTATGCAGAAGAATAGAGGAGCAAGTAAGCTCCAGAAGGGTGGTAAAGTTTTAACAAAGGTCTGAAACAAGTTATGAAAGAGCCAAATAGGTCCCAAAGAGAATAATAATTTTAAATGAAGTTAAAGAAATTGATGCGAAAACTGTACATGAAAAAGCTGGAAAGAAAGAGGGAAAACCTGTCTCGTTCCCTCAGAGAGGTAAGGATTCCGGTCTGTGATTGGTAGAAGCAGATGCTTGAAATGAGTAAAGGCATCTGCAGCTAAACTGACTTCTGATTCTTGTGGCTTAGCCTTAGCTGAGAACAATTAAAGCATAAGATATGAGTCCCCAATCAAAAGTGAAATGAACAAAGCATCTAGATATCAATATAATTCATCCAGTAATAGCATAGAAACATAGAGGAATGAAATAGGAGTGTTCATTTATTAAATTAAATGACAATGTTGTTGCTCCATGAAGATAGTTAAAAAATTTAATCAAGGAATGTTAGCCTTCAAATTACTCATTATTAGGGGAGAATGCGTCTACATACATACATACATATAATATGAGTGTATATACATACATATATATTTTGACCATCAATATTAGGCAAAAATATGTCCTACTACATCATTATGCAACAAATTGTGATGGTTATTAATGTTTCTTGGTGGATTCAGTTAAGGACAACTCAACATCATGTTGGATGGGGCTATGGTATATGAAAACAGCTTCCAGTTGCATAAGATGCACATAAGAGATGCTATGTGTTTTTAGGTGTTTACAGAAATTCACTTTTTGAATGCATATTTTGCCTCATCATCCCCCATTTTTTTATTAAAACAAAATATATATATATATATATGTATGCATAATTTATCCAAAAAAAAATAGAGAGATCCTTGGTAGTGTTTGGTTTGTTGGAATGAAAGTGAAATGGAACCATCATTCTATTAAAATGTCAATTCTCACATTTAAATCACTAAAAAAATGATGAAAATTGAATTGCAAATTGAATCATCGTTCACAATTACAAGTGAATGGTCATTCGATAGGGAGGCTAAGGAATGATTATCGCATTCCACTCCAACTTATTTTAGTGAAACAAACGCTACCTAAAAGTGCCCTCTTTTTAGTCTCTTACTTTACCAAAGATCTGAAGACTTGGTTTAAAAAGAAAATCCATAATCAACTACACTAGTTAACTTCAAAAAAGATAAAATAAATACACTGGTTTAAAAACAAAACTCAATTAACTGTCATTTTCACTTTTACCAACACCTTCACTTTTTAGTCTTTCCATCACAAAATTTTCAAGCATTAAATCTTTAAAAAACACTATCAAAAATGTTATCATCATCAAACGACTGAACCTATATTGCGGATATAATGTTTCTATATTATTTTTAGTTATTTTTCATTTTGAAAAGAAAGAAAAATAAATCTTAAATAAAAATAATTACAACAATATTAAAAAATGTAGAAAGTCTCATTTAAAATTTTCGTTTTAGGCCTCACATTATCTCAAGTTGTACTTGGTTGATGAAAATCTCTTTCTTATAATTTGGCCCTGCAAACCAAAATTCTCATTATGCTCCTAGTGTACCATGGTTATCAAAATCGTGATCCAAATCATCGGATCCTACCATCCCAAGTTGCCAAAACGTTCCAAATAGTAGTAAAATTGGTTTTATAGCAAGATCACAAGTAGGATTGTGTAAGATCATATAGGATCATACTATGCTAGTGGGTAGGTTAGCTTCAAGCCATGCTTAACCTGTGAGTAAGTACAAATCATCTATCTCCTACTTCATCATTATTGCAATGTTTTGGATCTTGAATTTGTCAAAGGAAAGGAAAGTGAAAATGAAACTACACATATTCATTTTTTTTAAGGTTGTAAAACTAAACAAAAACTGAAATTTCTTTTGACAAATGCTTATTTATTTCTTCTCATTAGGCTCAGCCTTGAGGGCAAGCAAGAGAGGCCTGCGCCTTGGGCCTCCAAATTTGGGTTGAAAATAGGAGCCCCCAAATATAATTTTGTGTTTTAGATATCAAAAAAAAAAAAAGGCTCAAATACTATAGATCCAATTGAACATGGGGCCCAAAAAAAAAGACAAAAACACAGTCATAATATATGAAAGTAAACACAGTCCTAAACACAGTCCATTGAATAGGTTAGCTTTGTTATCGATTGAAAACGATATGGTGAATAAATTCGATTATGCAAGCTTCGTTAGTGATTTTGCAGCTAAAAATGTGAGAAGAGTAATGTTCATGTGATAATTGGCTCAATTGTAAACTAGATATTTTGCTAAATTATAAAGCAACAAGATCAGATTTTTATTTTTTATGAATATTTGTAATGATTGCTTCCTATCTTAATATATGAAAGTAATTTTTTGTTTATAATTTTAATAATTATATGTGCAAGTAAACTTTTTTGTAGCTACAAATAAATAAAAAAGTTTTTAAAATTTATCATTTTATTCATGAACTTTTTCTTTTTTTTAATGTAAGAGGAACCCCATTTTCAAAGCCTCCTAAATCTGAGGACCGGCCCTGCTTCTCATTTTCCTATAACTTCTTTCACTTCATTTGACTTTCCAGTATATTTTTCCTCCCAAATCTAAGATCCAAACATAACCCCTATAAATCATAAAAATAAATCTAATTTAGAAGAATAATTAAGCCTTCAATATTGGAGTAAGGCAACTACAGTGAAATTGAAGATCAAACGTATGCATGTGAGGTTTGGTTTGGACCCAACATTTTTCCATCATTCTCACCTATGTGCATAATAGTTAAACTCAATATCAGAAATATATGTTAATTAAAAACCCCAAAATTCCAAAATTGGTATTGTAATAAGCAATTAAGCAAACAAGTAGAAGACAACAAAGGGGAGAGAGAGAGAGAGAGAGTAAAGAAGTACCTTTGTGGCCAATGCTTCGGAGATGGGGAAAGAGAGAGAGCTTGCGAGCTGCGGATTTGAGAGAAGAGAAAGGTATGGGAAGTAGAGAAGCAGAAGAGGAGGAAGTGGAAGAAAAAGTAAGAATTGAAGTTTTGTGAGGGTTTGAGGTTTCAAAGGGGATAGCTAGTGAGTAGTGAGCAAAAGCCATGGAGGGACTCAGAAAGAGAGACCTTTTCCAATTGTTTGTGTGTGTGTGAGGGAAGGGACCAGATTGAGAAAGATGGGGGTTCCAGAAGAGGCAAGAAAGAGAATGAAACAGTTGATTAAAAAAATAATAATAATTTGGACTATAGTCCATAGATGAGATTTGGAAATAAATAATAATACTAATATAACTTTTATAAATTTGGGTAAATTAAACTCACCTTCAACCCTAATTTTGATATTATTATTAGGGTAAATTAAACTCACCTTCAGCCCTTAATATAATTATATGGTCTTGTTAATAAGTGTGGTTAGAGTATAAGTAAAAGGCAAAATATTTATAAAATATAATATATTTTTTAATATTAAACAATAATACTCATAGAATATTTGTTAATATTTGTCCAATTACAATAATTTTTTTTAATAAGATTAAAATTATCAAAACTAAAACAGTGATAAATAGACATATAAATAAACAAGGGTAAATAAGGGTAAATAGATATTTTATTTTAGTAAAAAAGACACATAATATTATTTTACTCAATTGTTGTTATAACTTATTTAAGCTTTTATACAATTATATCCCAAAAAAAAATTGTCTTAGGGCTTGGGCTGGACAAGGGCCGGTTGAAAAAACGACCCGACCCACTCAGCTCAGTGCTCTGTGTTCTCGGCGGTGTCGTCCTCACGCGAGGGCAGAGCTAAATGGAACTCAAAGACGCCGATGATCATACCATTACGACGTCGTCGTCGTCGTCGCCATCATCTTGTTCATCTTCATCGGCCGATCAGCAGATGACCACTACATCTCACCATCACTTCGGCAATCCAAGCGAAAACTCAGAAGCCTTCTCCATCAGCATCATTGAGGTAGAATATTTACTCCAAAACCTTATGATTATGTTTGGTTTCTGAGAAATTGCAGGAAAACAATAGGAACCCTAGCCAAACCGAAAAAGCTTTTTTTTCTTGGTTGCCGATTGAATGTAATGGTACAATTTTTGACATTTTGAATTTTCTGTTCCTCGATGATGTTGGCTCAGAGCATGAAAGAAGAATATGGATTGTTTGTGTGGCCGTGTAGTGTTGTTCTGGCCGAGTATGTTTGGCAACAAAGGTCCCGCTTTTCCGGTGTTAGCGTGATTGAGGTGTGTGTAATCTCTACTTCAAAATTCCATATGTAAATCCCTTATTCTTGAACCATAAGTGAATGAATTTGTGTTGTAACTGGCTATTTTCTGTAAATATAGTGCACTCCTTTTGTGTTTTAATTTTTTTTTTTTCCTTTTGATATTTGAATTGTGATTATCTAATGTCGTTATAATTGCTAGTTTACAGCTTGGAGCTGGAACTTCTTTGCCTGGGTTGGTTGCCGCGAAAGTGGGTTCGGACGTCACACTAACCGATGACTCAAACAGACCAGAGGTATTATGTTGTAAAATGATGTTGGTTTACTAGTTTTTTTCTTTCATATTGCTGCGTGAACTTTGATATCATGTATATGTTTGAGTATGGGGTTGTACGTAAATATATAACTTAGATTTTAATGAACCAATCTACCACAGCATGCTTACAATTAAGCACCATTAATTCCTTTGCCAACCACTCAGACCTCAAAGAAGTTGGTCTACAAAGTACTATATTAACTCCTTTGCCAACTAATCTTATTAGGGAAATTTAAATGCCCTTGTTGGAATTTAGGTGGAGATTTTATTATCTGGCTTTATTTTTTATTATTGGGTTCCTCTGTTATCAGAATCTTACGACTCGCAATTCGATTCACGATTCGATTCGCAATTTTTGCAAAATCAATACGAATCTATTGGTGAATCTATTTTGAAAGTGAATTTCTAGTGAATCGCACGATTTACAACCGATTCACTTTTTATGATTCATGCAATTTTTGAAATTATTGTGTCCGACATATTTTCAACTCTTTTTTTCTCTATCTTTTTAGTAAAAATTACATAATGCAATTTCTAATAGCGTTTAATATCAAAATAACCAACATATATACCTAATTTGTTATTATTTTAGTGATCATAGAGTTTTTAATGGGATCCAATCAGATTCAGTCAGACCCAACATATTTTTAACATTTCTTCTCATTTTTTCCCTTAAAAAAATCATAATATATCTTCTAAACATGTTTAAGATTAAAGTTATGCTATGAATTATCTATTACTATTTTATTAAATTGAATATAATTGAATATTACATATGTGAAGTCAGTTATACCTTTAAAATATTTTAAATAATTCTTTCTTATTATTTGGTCACTGTTATTTAGAAAAGTATGTATATTTCTTGTTCAAATATCAATATTATTATTAATTATTGTTACTTTGGAAATTGATAGTTTGTCAATTTGGTTATTATCTCTATTAAGAATGGTTGATAAGAAATATTTATAAAAAAAAAAAAAAGTTCAGATGGTGATCTTACATATGCACCTTTGTTAACTTCTTACCTATTAAACTACGCATCATTCAAAATAATATTTTCATTGATTTAAGTTTAAATATTTCATATTCGTAAGATATATTTAACATCTAAATGCGTAGATATGTATTTGTAAGTAATTTAGAAAAAGTGACCAAATCTTTACGATTCACGATTCGATTCGATTCGATTCGCGATTCGGCACGAGGTCATTTCGATTCATAATACGAATCTCGATTTGACAACTATGGTACAAATGAAGTTTTGATAGTCCAATTTGTCATGTATGGCATTCTGTACTCATGGTTTTGCTGTTGTTTTAACCACAGAATAAGTTTATATACTTTTGTTGTTAGCCCTTGGTTGAATATGGTCACAATTTGAGGATGTGAGCTCAAATTTTGTGTTAAACAATATGTAATGACTCTCTCCACCTTCCTTCCTGCCTTCCTTCCTCTACCTACTGAACTGTCAAAATAATGAAATGACTTTATGCCTGTTGAAGCGTTCACCCTGCTTAATAATTTGCAATTGCTTTGTTTTCATTTTTAGCCCTACATGACTAACTACTGAAAAGACTGATTCCAGCAGCAACTCCTTGTTCCTATTGGTTTTCAGTAGATACCTCAAATGGTTAAACGGGGTTGAATGACAATTTTATGTTGCCAACACTGGCTAATGTCCTTTGTGTGATTACTTAATAATCATTCTATCCTAATCATGTGCTTGTGCCTTGTCTTTTCTGTACATTATTGTCAAAGAATGGTCTGAGTTTGAAGTCCATCTTGGATGTACCATATCCATACTAAAAGAGCTGTCTACATTTTCTATCCTGTTAACCAAACTAGGGATGCATCTTTCTCATTCTGTGCAGAATTTAATACGTACTTTAGTTATAGTGCATCCAGTAAATGATCCACGGTTTTAACCACTGTACCACTACTTTGTTTAGAGAATTAGATCAATATTTAACTAAATACTTAAAAAATAAGCAGAAACTTCTATTTTCACTGTGTGCACTTCAATGCATGCAGAGCTGCTTCCTGGAGTGTTTGCTGTTCATATTTCCCACTCCTTTCATATCATTCATGTATTGCTTCTACAGAGTAGGAACAAATATTAGAGAGGTAGGAGTTTTTGGTGCTATTTTCATTGCCTGATTCCCTGGGAAGAGCAGTCACAGCTGAATTTTAGTTAATATGAGTTTCCAATTTAATGGGTTTATGGTATTTCTTGCAAATACAAGATACATTTCTTACTCTATGGGGTAAAGATTAATCTGTTGTCAAATATTACATACAAATTGGGATTTGCGTTTGGGTTATAGCCTTCTGGGATTTGTAAACGAATCTTCATTTATGTCTTCTATTTACATGCAACTTTAGTAAAAACTGTTATATAATTGTTGCTTCATTTCGTTTGAGGCTTTTGAGTATTAAGGTGTGTTTGGCTTTTGTCAAACTGTTGTAAATTGTTGCGTCATTTTGGTGTTTGTCTCTTCATTCACTCTAGAGAGGTGGCTTTTGTTTCTATTTGATAAAATAATCTGAAAAGTTTTTTGTCTTGAATCTGCAGGTGCTGGCTAACATGAAAAGCGTGTCTGATTTAAACAATCTCAATTGTAAAGTAAGCTATTTTTTTACTTTTTTATTTATAGTATGCCAATTCACATGATGCATATGGGGAGAAAGGTTGTATAACATTTTATATTGCTTGGCCTTAGAAAAGAAAGGGGTATAACTGTTGGTTACAATTGGTTCTGAACACTTTCCTCATGATCAGAACCAGTGTCAACATATTGTTTTTTCATTCCCTTTTAACACAAATGCATATCAATCTATCATATGAAGATGGCATTGATAGACTACAAGATGATTTTGGCTTGTCTTGTAGGTAATGGGACTGACATGGGGCATGTGGGATGCAACTATCTTCAGTATACATCAAAATGTTATCCTTGGGGCTGATGTGTTATATGATACGAGTGGTAGGATTATTTTTGTTGAGCTACTGCTTTTTTCTTCTTTTGCGCCATTAAACTGAAGATGAGATGTATATTGTGCATATATTGGCAAGGCTTTGATGATCTCTTTGCCACTGTGACATTTCTACTCCAAAATTCTCCAGGATCTGTTTTCATAACAACGTATCACAATAGAAGGTATTTTTCACTTTTAACGTTATTTTGTGTTGGCAGTTTACATTTCAACAATGTTAATCTTTGAATTTTATTAAAAATGTATTATGTATTTATATATTTGTTTTGTTTTGTGCAGCGGGCATCATCTAATTGAGTTCTTGATGGTGAAGTGGGGGTTGAAGTGCACGAAACTTCTTGACGGCTTTTCATTTATGCCATCATACAAGGCATCTGGGCTAAGTGGCAATATTCAATTGGCAGAAATTGTTTTGAATAGTGAAGAGGTGAGATAACATAAGCCAAAAATTAGCTGTAAGAAGCTGAATGGTGACACAGTCTCTCTGATTTTTAACCTTGTTACATTTCAACAATGTTAATCTTTGAATTTTATTAAAAATGTATTATGTATTTATATATTTGTTTTGTTTTGTGCAGCGGGCATCATCTAATTGAGTTCTTGATGGCGAAGTGGGGGTTGAAGTGCACGAAACTTCTTGACGGCTTTTCATTTATGCCATCATACAAGGCATCTGGGCTAAGTGGCAATATTCAATTGGCAGAAATTGTTTTGAATAGTGAAGAGGTGAGATAACATAAGCCAAAAATTAGCAGTAAGAAGCTGAATGGTGACACAGCCTCTCTGATTTTTAACCTTGTTCCATAGCCATATGTCAATTAGTTCAATTCACCTCAGGGGCTTTTTATTTGTGGATTGCTGCTCCTTTCATTTATTGAGGTTTCCTGTTTCTTAGAAGCCAATTTCTGCATGTGAAATTTTAGATCTTGTGACTTGTTTATACCAAATTATTTCACGACAGACATACTGTTTGTATATTTTATGCCTTGACAGGACTTTTTAGTTACAGGAGGGTAGTTTGGGATACTTTCTTGCATCCGAGACAGTACATCACTAGAATGAATGTTACAATTTTCAAGGTTTTGAGCTTGAACTAATGAATTTTCCTAATGAGATGGGATATTATTTGATCATATGACTGGGTATTTATCATATCAATAAATATTTTCCTGCTATATTAAGTTTCTAACTTCTGACTTGAACACTAGAGTTTTAAGTAAACAATGAGCTTGGAAATTCTGTATGTTGGATCTACCAAATTCCAAGGTAAAGTTTTTAACTTTTAATTTCCCTTTATCAGGCAATCTCATTGGCCCAGCTATTTGCTGTTTGTAGTTTTCCATTTAGGGTGGGATTTAGTCTCTTTTTTATTTTTATTATCAGAACATGGCTGGGCTTAGGTCTAGGTTAACCACGCAAAGTTCAATCAGGTAAAGACTAGTTTTGATCTCATGCAGTTTACTATTAGTCATCCTAGATTTAATTCCTTGAATGCCCCCAAAATTTAGAAGCAATACTAGAATAGACTGTGTTCAAATATTATATATATTGTTACAGGGAGTAGCCATATGCTTTGTGGTTCTCAAACAAACCATACAATCTTATAATTATTGCAATCCTCCTAAAATAAGCTTAAAAAAAGGATTGATGATTGATTTTGCTTGATTATGTCTAAAATATTGTATAGATAAGTTTAGGGTCTCCTTAATTGACCACCTTACAGTCCTTTCTGACCTCTTGTCCTCCCGTGATGCTACTCATCTTGATCATGGACTTCACAAAAGCCTTTGAGAAAGCTTCTTGTGAGCTAGCAAACTTGGAAACCAGATCTTTTGTCTGTGGAGAAGTAAGCAAAGCTTGGTCCGAAGAAAACAGGCTCTTGCCTTGGAGAATTAGCTTGTAGTATGTGTTATCGAAAGTTGTGGAAGATGGATCCATGTTGGCCCCAGCATTCTTGACCTTATTGTTATGTGGGCAAATGCTTTTTAAGCTTTCTGCAAACGACGGATGCATTGAAGGGTCGATGTCATGTGTGGAGTTGAAGTTGTGGATTCTATTTCTGAATGATGAACAATGAGAGAACCCTATAGTGTGGCCACCTACAGAAGCAAAAAGAATATTGTCAATTTTCTCAGGTACTCAGTTGTATCAAGCTGAGTCTTACAGAGAAATAATGTTCTCGGTTCGGTAGTTGGAGTTGGTTTACCTGAGAGGGCCACTAGGTCGTCCATGGACAGACCTCTTTGGGAGAAGCTTTGCTGAAGCTGAGAAATGTTGAAGGTGGGAGCTGGCATTTGTATGGTTTCACTGGCCTTTGATGTTCTTCCATCTTTTCTTCCTTTAGGCACATACCAATTGGGACCTCCAGACTGAAAGATAAGCATATCAAACAATCACAAAGATGTAACTGAATTCTTCTTGATGTGATCTTTAGTGATATACTTATTTACTCCATTATCTACATCTAGGTCTACAAACAAGTTGAGTCGAGCCGAGTATTTGGTTAGTCAAGCTTGATTTAAAAACTTAACATGTTTTGAAATGCGTTCTAGCTTGACTTGTTAGCTTTCAAACCATTCTTAAACAAGCTTTAGTCTATCCAACTATGAGCTGAATATGAGGAGCTTAGTTTTGTAAGTAGTCCAATACTATCGAGTCAGGTTCAAGCCAAAGTTAATGAATTTCAAAATTTGTTCGAACTTGGCTTGTTTGCATAACAAGTAAATCTCAAACAAGCTAAATATGAGCCAAACTCAAGTATTTGATTCATTTTAAAAAGAAGCATTGGCTTAAGACTAGACTCTCATGAATGTGTGTGTGTGTGTGTGAGAGAGAGAGAGACAGAGAGAGAGGGAGAGTCCATTATAGTTTTCTAATTTACTTACCAGCACAACTGCATCTCTTGCAGCTAAAGCCAAGATATCAGCACACGAGACTACACCGGGACACAATGATTCTAGCTCTTTCTTGGCATCGTCAATGACATGAAAAGCATGTAGAGAAACATTAGGTGGCCCATCTTTTTCTGCAGTGTTCTTCCCCACTGAATTTAACAACACAGAAGCATCACAGCCCTAAAGAAATAAAAAAACAGGGAAAGAAGTTAATATCAACGGAAAATTACAAAACCCATTTAACACTAAAATGTCTTCATATATATATATATATATGTATGTACCCTTATGAAGCAATCATGGAAATGCATCCTGAGTATAGCTGCAGGGACTGTTTTGTCTTTCATCACCGCATTCTTGACTGCATTGGTGACAATTAAGTCAGTGTCGGGGCATGTCTTGTCATAGTAGTTTAAGCTCAGTGCATTTCCTGGAGGAATGACTGAAAAGATCAGCAGTGAGCTTAGCAATGCAACAATGACAACCATGGTATAATGCTAGGAGCTCCAGTAGCTGTCTTATTGTTATATATGGTTAATGATAGAGTTACAACAAGAAGGGTATTTATAGGAAGAGTTTGTATGGAGGGAGAGAGAGAGAGAGAGTTGAAATGGTGGTCCAAGTGAAAGCATGCATGTTGATTATGGAGTAGAGTTGAAGCATTCCAGCACAAGACAATCCATGTCCAATCTGTCTAGGCACCTTTGTGATGTATTAATCACAAGCACAAAGAGTGCATAATTCAATCTAATGTTTTAGGTCTTGCTTGATTTACAGAATTGGAGCACGATAGGACTTTTTATCCCGGGATATAATTATTCGTGTTTGGTTCACCTTTGTGATCAGGGATAAGTTATTCTAAAGGCAGTAGTTAGTTGGATATCCCTACAGACTCTCTGTCCTGTCACTTCAACGACTTGTGGTCTTTGTGAAGATCATTATAAGCCATCCCCTACAATGGATTTGTTTGGTGCAAGTTTATATGAGTTGCTTATATCTTTTTCTTTTTTCTTTTTTGGAGGAATCTTGTGTCAGACTGTATAATTTGTTAAACATAGTTTAAATAAATTGAAAAGAGCTAATAATCTGTAAGTTAGGAGATGGGTGTTTTTACTTTCTGTTTTTTTATTATCAGTTTTTAACTTTCAATAAGGTACACCAAATGGGCTCAACTTGTGGGAATGGGAAGGAATGTATTAGGTGGTTGGGATTGAACAATCAATGTCGTTAGTTGTGTAACTTTTTTGCTTGTTCTTATTTTTCAAGTTTCCGCTTTAATTAGTTATGATGATTTGGACGGGTGTAATGGTTGGAGTGATGTGATTGGTTTTGTTAGCATAAGACTTACTTATTAGCATGGTGGAGACATGGACTTGGGATTCTAATCTTAAAGAACAAATCTATATGTAACTTTAAAAAAAATTGAATCTGTCTACAATATTATTGATATTTTAAAGGGTTAATACATTTGTACTCTTCAAAATATGAAATTTGTATCATTTTGCTCTCCAATATGTAAAAAAATGTTTCAATTTGGTCCCTCAACTAAATTTTGTTTGTAGATGCCGTTAAAATCAAGGATCAATGTGAAAATTCACTTAAAAAGTACACTTTTAATCCAAAAAATCTATGATATGTTATTAATGTGATTAAAAACTATGCGTTTAGTTTAAAGCCATACAAGTTATTATATCATTCTCTATTTTTCTCTATATTTTTTTGCAAAAGAAAAAAAAATAAGCAAACTCCAAACACCCTTAGAGCAACTCTAACTATAGGGGTGTATAAAAAAAATCAGTGGAACCCGATAAACCGACTTCATCCAGTTTAAATTGTCAGTTTGATTTGGTTTTTATTAGCTTTAGTTCTAATTCTGGTACTGAAAATGATGGAATCGTTCAAATTGGTCTAGTTCCTGGTTCTAAGGCTTTGGTTATGGTTTTGAACCGAACTGTTACTTATTTATTTATTATTTTTTATATTTTTATATGGAAAAATTAAAATATAAAAAGTCTCTTATAAGATGTAAACACTAGTCTTGATTGTGAAATTGATAAATTCTAATCTACTTAATTAATTATCATTGATTTGTTTACTAACATAAAATATATATCATATTTATTGTTAATATAAAAATTTTAGAACTGTAAAATCGAACTGAACCAAACCGGTTTTTATGATTCGGTTCCGGTTCGGTTCCATAATTTAACGGTTCGGTTATGATTCTAATTTTTTTGGAACCGATCGTTTATTCTAAAATTAGACTAATCTGATTTGTGTACACCCCTATCTAACCATACTTTTCATTTTTTATTAGTTAAAATATTAAAAAATAATTCTTTATTTTTCCTAATTTCTTTTTTATCTATGTACTCCAATGCTGCTTTCTTTTCTTTGTTTTGAACTAACCAATGCTATTCTTTATTTTGCCTATACAAACACACAAACTTTCTAAAAAAAATTCCCAAAGCTCTTTGAACGTAGCTAGCTTTAAATTTTTTTTTTGTTAAAATAGTTATTGTAATAACTAACTCATTGAAGTGATTAAAATATAATAATATTAATGGTAAATGATACTTTGCCCTCCCTAAAGTTTCATCAATTTCTCACTTTGGCTCTTTAAATTTGATTTTTCCCACTTTGATCCTTTATGTTTTCAATCCTTCTCACTTTGGCCCTTCATATTTGTAATCCTTCTCACTTTGGCCCTTTACGAATGATTTTTTCCACTTTGGCCCTTCATGTTTGTAATCCTTCCCATTTTGACCTTTCATGTTTGCAACCCTTCTCACTTTACTCCTAGACCAACTTCCATCCAAAAAAGTAACAGAATTTGTTACATCACTAACACATTAGCTCCATATGTGATATAAAAAATTCACTAAATATGCAAAAATAAAAAATAAAAAACAAAAAAATTGGAATTTTTTTTAGTCTTTAGTGAATTTTTTTTTCCCCAAATTTATTTAGACATTATTACGTTATAGATGCATCTAGATTAGATGCAGCTAAAAAAATAAAAACAAATTTAACTAAAAAAGAAAAAAGTTTACTAAAGACGAAAAAACGATAGTAAATTTTTCATTTCAGAATTGACAATACAGGTATTTGAATCAGTATATTTTTTATTTTTTTCGTCTTTGGTAAACTTTTTTCTTTTTTTAATTAAATTTGTTTTTATTTTTTTAGTTGCATCTATAATGTAATAATGTTTATGAATAAATTTGAAAAAAAAATTCACTAAAGACTAAAAAAAATTTCAATTTTTTTGTTTTCTATTTTTTATTTTTTTGCATCTTTAGTGAATTTTTTACATCACACATAAAGCTAATGTGTTAGTGATGTGGCAGATTCTGTTAGTTTTTTGGATGGAAGTCTAGGAATAAAATGGGAAAGATTGCAAATATGAAGGGTCAAAGTGGAATGGATTGCAAACATGAAGGGCCAAAGTGGGAAAAATTAAACTTATAGAGCCAAAGTAGGAAGGATTGCAAATATGAAGTGTCAAAGTGAGAAAAATTAAACTTAAAAGGCCAAAGTGAGAATTGGATAAAACTTTAGAGGGGGCAAAGTGTAATTTATCCTAATATCAACTATAATAGTTAGTACATCTCATTTAAAGAGTTTCTTGGAGATTTTCTTACACACATAATAACCAAAATATGTGATCTTTGTTATTTGATCTCATACTTTTGGTTGGGACCAAAGTGAAATGCCGTTTATACATAAGAGACTAAATTAATACAATTTAAACATTAGTGATTAAAATGACACAAATCTTATAATTTGAAGACTATAAATGTAATTAATCTTATTTTTTTAAATGAAAAAATAGAAGGTCAATTATTAAGTTTCAATAATGCTAGATACTCATAAAATTTATTGAGGAAAAGCAATGTGCAGTGGAGATTATTTTTTAAGTGGGAGTCCAACTACACAAATTTTGGATAAATTTCCTGGCAATCTTTTTTTTTTTTTTTTTTTTGTCATTTTTTTTTTTTGGGAGGAAACTTGGCAATCTTTTTGGATTCTTATCTTTTCTTTTCAAGTTTTTTGGAAAAATCTTAGGGGCAAATAATTTAAAAGCCTTATTAACAATATTTACTATAACAAAGAATTTTCAAAACTTTATAGACAATTGGCCTAACCGCCGATACTTAGGTCCATTGCTGGTTGGAGACATTGATTGGAAGAAGCCAATTTAGTTGGGCCAACCACAACCAACAGGCAGGTACCCACTTTCCCACTAGGTTTGCATGGGTCATTTCATTGGAACAAGTCATTCATATATAGATTATCACCATAGATATATCATATCCACTAATAAATCTCTTAAGAACTGAAAAATACCCATAATTTTCATTACTAAATTTTATCAAAAATAATGTGATAGTGATATTTTATGGCAGTATCAGTCTAGATAATGTTTTGTTTTCTTTAAAAAAAAAAATACCCCCTGAGAGTCAAATTTTCATAACAAATTAGGGAAAATTAGGGGGGAATCTGTATGAAAATAAAAACCTCAGGGGGCAATTTGTTATGGAAATATAAACCTCAGGGGGCGGGATGTAATTTCTCAAATCTCAGGGGGGAATCTGTATTTTAACCAAACCTCAAGGGGGTGTTTGTAATTTACCCTAAAAAATTGCATAAATAAAGTGTATAGTGGAAGAAAATTAATTGATTGTACGGCTCTCCTGTGGCTGCGTAGCATGTCTCCACATAAATAATTGCCTCCTTCAGGCAAATAACTTTTGGACAGTGATGGTTGGTCCATGGGGGCCATCATAGGTCCCATTTTAATAATCTGAACCGTTCAATATGTACAACTCGTTGAGTATTATATGTCTGTAAAAAATCACATTGATCGGATATTGATAGCTATATGATCGGATTAGTTTTGTTCAACAGTTAACTATCACACCATCCGTTTTGTAAACAAAACTGATTTGATCATATAGTTAACGATATCCGATTAACGTGATTTTTTACAGACATATATTACTCGACGAGTTCTATATATTGAACAGTTCATATTATTAAAATGGGACCCATTGCAGCCACTACAGACCGACCATCACTGTCCAAAAGTTATTTGCTCCGAAGGAGGCAATTTTTTTTTGCCCCAAGAGAAGTGTATGATGGCTGTGACGTTGTCAGTGGATTTATATTATAAAAATATATAATATATTATTTTAATATTTTTTATTTGTAAATAGTAATACATTTTTTGCTTTTTGTATAACTTTTTAACTTTTTGAATTATATTTAACTTGCCAAACTTGGCCCAAATTGTGGCAAGACAATTCATCATCTTAATCATAGTTCAGGGAAATTCTAATAGCACTTTGTTTGTTTTTGGTTTTCCAATAATACTTTTTAGAAAATTCTACTTTCTTATTTACCGTTTTTTTTTACTGCTTTTTTTAATATTTTAAGAATTTTTTTTAATTTTTAGACACACCTAACATAAAAACACATAAAAAGTATAATTTTTGTGAAAAAAATCTTTTAAAAATTCACTAAATACTAAAAATATTTTTAAA